TAACTGAACTTTTTCCCTATAGTCAAGCGATTAAACTCATTCCAGAAGTAGGAGACCAAAGTTCTAGCCCCTCCTCAGCCCTGGTGGGTTTTGAACATGTATCTTCCCCTTCCCAGGGGAGTTCCCTACCCAGCCAGTTCTGTCCTGTTCTCCCAATGGTCATTTTTTCATATTATCCAGTGTTTGTTTGAAGTGCAAAAGCATAGGAAGCAGAATCCAAGGCTCCCTCATTTCCAGTGTGTATATTTCTTTTGCTTGCTTTCCTTCTGGTCCCATGACTTACATCCCTTCAATCCTGCCTAGACCATAGCCTGGGAAGCGGTAGCTAGGATGTTTTCCTGGATGGTGAGAAGTGTGAGTTTGCACTTTTCTCTCAGGATGAATTTGTCCTGTACGCTGCGTGTGTTTCCCATTTCCTCAATGAGTGCCCTCGACACTCAGCTGTTAGGTGAAAGGTAGGCATGCCCCCTCTGCCTTGCCACTTGTGTGACTTAGTTTTTTAAGGCTAAGGGGAAGGTACTTTATGCAGTTAGGTATGTTAACACTTTTTCGGTTATTTTAGCATGCTGGACTAGGATCACACTTAAAGATTTAGATGTCTAGAAGCTGTCTAAATGCCACTTAGATGCCTAACACGTGGAATAGACTAGCTTCTAGTAGCCACATTAAGTGTCAGTAAAGTGTTTTGTTTGGTTTTTCCCCCTCCTTTTGAAATTAATATTAATTTAGAAGGGGAGGTAGGAGGAAGGATTTTGGCTAGCATTGTTCTAATATAATTAATCTCAGAAGAGGTAAAACATAGAATTGTGTTGATTCATCCCATATGGCTTTCTGGAAAGAATGAGTCACGTGTTCTCTCTTGTATGTAATATTACAGAAGTAAATGGTGTTTCATGCCTTGTATTGATGATTTTAATATCCAGATACAAGAAGATTCTATTATTGCCGCAGCAGCAATACTGCACAAATACAGTGCTGTCAACTCTTTCAGTTTTATCCTGAGTCTTCCCCTGTTTGCTGCTTTTCTTAAAGCTGCTGTTCCTGGAGTCATGCGATTATCTAATGCTTTGTAATGGTTAGGGTTAGCAATTACGAAATATGGTTATTGTTACATGTATTTGCTTATATTGGTTTAATTAGAAAATGTCTTGCATTATGGTTGCCCACAGGCAACATCTGTGTCCAAGTGTAAAAACGACTAGGTTACAGTCTGTGTTTGACTTCTAGATTTTAAAGATAAAGCAAAGTATGAAGATTTTATGACCTCAGTGTTAGAAAGAAGAATATTAGTCATTCTTACAAGCCCCTGTTTTTTAACTGCTCAGGTAGTGTTGTATCTTCAGCATGACTGGCAATTATGAAATAATGTGTCCCTGTAAGATGCAGCAGATTCCCATTTATTGCAGGATCTAGGTATTCTGAAGAGGCATGTGGTTTCAATACGTAATATCGACCTCTTAGCAGAAGTTAATTAGCACTCCCCAGTTTTGATTAATCTGCTCTCTATGCTAATGCATCAATTTAAAAATCCCAGTTTGGTACTAGATACCCAAAATAGCAGCAGGGCTAGTCTGACTCTTGACATGTGGCTGATTACCTGCTTACAGAACATGTAGGTGCTTTTTCAGTAGCTTGGAGAGCTATTTTTCACAAATGGTTGTCATAGCAGAGTAATGGATGCAGAAAAAAATATTCCCATTTTATATGGGATGATTTATTTAGTATTGAGAAGATTTATTTGGTAACAATGATTATTCTACATCTTTTTATTAACCTTTTTACCTTTGTTTTTTTTAAATACTCTACTCGGATTAAATCTTAAAAATATAATTTCTTTTTCCTTCTTTTTTCTTTGGCTTCTGGTTTTCTGTCACATGGTTGAGAAATAAACACTAATCAGTTGCAATGAGGGCCCCAAAATATAAGGTTGGATCTAGGGGTGCACCAATGAAGATCTTTTGGGCCAATACCAATGGCCGATTACTGCCATATCGGCCGATATGGGATCCTATTACCCCTGCTGACTTCCTGCCCTTGGGGCAGGGGGCTGGACCCGATGATCTTCTGAGGTCCCTTCCAGCCCTAATGTCTATGAAATCTATGAAAGGATGCAATTGCTGATATGGAGCCCAGCAGCTTGGAGAGCAGTGTCAGGCGGATAAGTCTGTTGAGGGGGAGGGAAGGGGGAGCAGAGATGGGGGGAGTGGGGCTGAGGCAGGAGCAGGTGCTGCACAGCCGCGATGGACTGGGGTGTAGGACGGAGCCATGGGCAGCTTGTCTAGGGGGCGAGGAAGGGGGGAGTGGCTCCTGCAACTGCACGCATCCTGGGGGGAGGTATGGGGGCATGTGCCCCCTGGATCTGTGTGCGGGATGAGGGTGGGCTGCCCACTGTGGGCTTGGGGCCAGGGGCTGCACAGGCCTCTTCCCGGTGGGAGGCTGTGCTTGGAGCAGGCAGCAGCGGTGCTGGAAAGATGGGCTATAGGGGGGCTGCAGCCACCCCAAAATTCGCTGTAGCCCCCTCTCCCAGTACCACTGCTGCCCACCCTGAGTGCAGCCCCAGCCCAGTCCCTCCACTGGGAAGAAGCCAGTGCAGCCCCGGCACCTGAGTGCATAGCAGGCAGCCTGCTTTTGTCCTGTGCAGAGATCCAGGGGACATGTGGCCCCCATGCCTCCCCTGGGGAGTGCGCAATGGCGGGAGCCCCCCTGTGCCTCCCCAGATAAGTTGCCTGCTGCTCTGTCCCATGCCATGCCCCGCCCCACCCCAGCTGGGCAGTGCCTGCCCCAGCCCCACTCCCTCTGTCACCATGGGAGCCTTGATCTGTTCCCCCATGCCCTTTCCCCCTAACAGACTTATAGGCCAGATGCTGCTCTCCAAGCTGCCGGACTGCATTCCTGGCTGCATGCATGCTGTAGCTGCGCACATGCACGTGGCATCTATTGGAGACTTTATCGGCCACAGCCAAAAGGAGCTGATTGCCGATAATGTCAATTTTCCTTTTATCGGTGCTGATATGATACAGACCGATGTATTCATGCACCTCTAGTTGGATCTGTTTCAGACCAGTTTTATTTTCTAGCTCCTAGCAACCGTTTCAGTGTGTGTTCTCAAGTACAAGGGACTTTTTATAAAAATAATGATTTTTTGTAGGGTTTTTTTTTTAATTCAAAGTTGTTTCCACAAGTTTTTAAGCTTATATTTACAAGAACCTAAATTTTGGACTTGCCAGTTTTTTTCTAAGTGTAGTGGCCATTAAGCCCTTGGTCAGTGATTCTGTTGACTTCCCCAGTCAGTGGCTATAATGAAGAATGTTTGTAACTGGGGCATTACACAAGTGATCCTAGATGAAAGAACTGCAGTATTCTTTCAGAGGGCAATGAAAATTGTTAGGGGACTGGGACACATGTCTTATGAGGAGAGGCTGAGGGAACTGGGCTTATTTAGTCTAGAGAAGAGAAGACTGAGAGGGAATTTAGTAGCAGCCTTCAGCTGAAGGGGGATTCGAAAGAGGACAGAGTTAGACTCAGACGTGATAAATGACAGAATAAGGAGCAATAGTCTCCAAGGTGCAATAAGATAAGTTTAGGTTAGATATTATGAAAAACTTTCTCACTAGGAGGGTCCTAAAACACTGGAAAAGGTTACTCAGAGAGGTTGTGGAATCCATCCTTGGAGGTTTTTAAGACCCAGCTAGACAAAGCCTTGGCTGGGATGATGTAGTTGGGGATGGTCCTGCTTTGAGCAGGGGGGTGGACTAGATGACCTCTGGTGTGTCTTCCAACCTTTATTTTCTATGATTCTGTTACCTTTGTGCAGTATATATGGGCTGTCAGAACTGTGTATTCCATTTTTTTTCTTTGTTGCACTTAATTCCAATGTTTAATCTTTTGACAAGGCCTTATCATTGCAATTAGGAGGAAGGGAAAACAAAAAAACAAACCCAAGAAATGTGAGACTATATGGTGTATGCCCAGATTACTCAACAAACCTTACAGCATGTCCATGTTGAGGTGGTAATTTTATTTTTGCCCATGATGGAACTGTGTATCAACCTCCTCTTTTTCTCAGCTTTAATAATGCCTAGAACTTGGTGTCTTGCATTGTAGCCCTCATCCTTTTAGCTGAGAGGGGCCTTGGACAGGGCATCTGTCAGTTTCTGCTGAATGGCATAAGGCATTTGCTTTTAGTGGTTGTATGAGTTGGATGATTTTCAGAAACTGTTTGACACTATGTGAATTTTGCAACTGGCCTTAGGTGGGGACAAGATTTTGCCCTTTTCCTCTTGACAACCAAGAGCCTGTAATCTGAAGACAAACCGGAACCTCCTGCCTGAAAGCTCAGAGCATTTATCCTGAATTATTAGATTGGGGTTTTTTTTTTCAGAAGTTAAATGTTAGGTTCTTAAATTGAATTTGCAATGCACCTATAAATTATGCATAATAAATGCGTACACAAATAATGATTAAAAAATACTGTTGTCTTTCTGTTGCAAAGGCCTCTGAGTGCATTAACAGGGTAACAAACAAATCAAATTACTAGGGCAGTACATTCAAATTAATAAATAAAGTGAATAGCAGAAAAAATCAAAAAAGAAATCCACATGATTGTTAAGGAGTAAAATCTCAGAAGCCCAGGACAGTGTGTGGATAAAGGTGGATGCAGTTATCACAGCTGCAGGCAATTGATATAATTAGGCACACAGTTAGGCCCTATGCTTCTGAGTACTGGAAAATCTGGCCTAATATGTCTTTTCCATCTCTCATTTCTCTGATTCTTTGAGATAATTGTGCCGAGTGGGGTGTTTACTGCATTTCCTTTTGAGTGCATGCTGCCCTGAATTAGACCCACGCAGATAAATAGGTAGGTAAATGCAGGGCTTGTTTTGACACGGGAGTGATTTGGGGTGAACTCAATTGATTACAGTCAGACACTGCCTGCAGTCGAACTGGTATTCTCCCTTCACCGTCATTTGGTCTGATCTCTTATTTCTGTTTGTGATCAGGCGAACCGAGATGCGGTAATTAGCCGTGCTCCTGACCAGAAGGATGATCGAGCTGTCAGCCTCCAGGATGCTTCTGCAGTTTATGACCTTCTGAGTATCACGCTGGGCAGAAGAGGGCAGTATGTCATGCTTTCTGAGGTACCCAAGCTGGTTGTTACCGGAACTTCAACCTAAATCTTGCAAACAGAAACTGTCTTTTGAATAATAAACATTGAGTGCAGGTGGGGAAAGTGAATAGGAAACCTTAGTACCTGAAAACTGATGAAAACAGTGTCAAATCTGTGTAAGCTTTGGCCAAAAACTTACACATCTGCGTGACTTGTTTAGGCTTCTGAATCTATGCTTTTGCACTGAAATAAAATGGGCCTGATCTGAAGAGGTGCAAAGTACCTGCAGTTCTCATTACTTTAGAAGGGAAATCAAAGAGTATTTCCAGACAAGGCCATCAGCAGGGCACATCAAATGAGTTGTGCCTTTGAGCTGTGCCAGAGCCAGTGTATATGACAATGAATTAACATAGGGAGAAAGATATGCCCCTTATTTGTCCCAATTTTTCTTTCAGTGCTTGGAGCGAGCAATGAAGTTTGCATTTGATGAATTTCACCTCTGGTACCAACTGGCTCTTTCCATGGTAGCTTGTGGCAAGGTAAGGCTCAAATTGGACAAGCTAACAGGGCATGTATTTCTCCTGAACAACATTTTTTCTTTTAGTTTGGGGTGTGCAAAATCACTTATTTTATATGGGCAAACATATAAAGCTTTTGTTATAGCTTAGCACTGTCTGGTTAGGTTTAGATTATTCTTTATTGTCAGATGTGTACTGTGAATCAACACGATAGGATAACAGTTGTTTGGCTCTCAATGTTAAATGGGAAACCAAGCTTGATTTATTAGCTCTAGCCACTAGAGAAATCAGAGTAACTTACATAACCCCTTTTCACATATTCAAAATAAATTGTTTGTGTAGAATAGGGAACTGGAGGAAGAGATACTTGGTATCTGGTAGGAACTCCAGCACCACCAACTTTGTGGCTTTGGGCAAGTCACTCTTGAAGCCTTAAGTTACCCATCTGAAAAAGGGAATGTCATTACTGTTTGTTCCAGAGGGAAACCATGACGTATTAGGCAGTCAGTATTAGTGAATTGCTTTGAAACCCTCAGATGAAAGGTGCTACAGAAGAGAGAAGATTTTGTGGGGTGGGCGTGGGCATGGGTGTGGGCATGCACACACATGTATGAGTGTTCTAGAATTATTTTAGTTGTAAAACTCAGGTTGGAGAAGTATAAACTTTTCATTATTTCTTTGACGGAACGCCTTGCACAGGGGCAGATCCAGGATTTGGCAAAGGGGGTTGCAGGAGCAACCACCCCTGCTCTGATCCTCCTTCTCACCAGCTTCCTCTCTTCCTTCTCTTCCCCC